AAAAATTACTGCAACAACAACTTCCGTCGGCGAGGTGTTGTTGGGGCCCTATGATCCAGTGGGAGTCTACAGGGATTATTATAGAATATGAACCTTTATAAGCAATATTTTTAAATGTTTTCTTGAACTTAAAGTATGATGTGATGAAAATACAAATACTGTGTTGAATGATTATTTATAAGGTATATGTGAAGTAACAACGTCGTCAAAGTGAGCATAGGGTTTTTTGGAGAGCTCAGGGTGCAATGAACTCGTATCTCCTTGGGGCGCAGACCAAGTCGTCCTAGAAAACCTGACCAACATACGTTATAAACGTTATTACACTCTGATTACACAACAGGAATGTTAGGGCGGTACATAAAATGAAAGTGGCTTTTTATACACATTTTATTAATAAAAAACTTGTGCTGAGGTTATTCAGTCGTCTTTAATGATGTTTTATCTGACGTGCGTAAATATATGAACGAAACGTCTACGTCCCGACTACACAGATAAAGAGATAAGAATTAAGGGTTAACTTAGTTTTTTCTTTAACTTTAATTAGTATAGGTGAATATTTGTTGTAATACAGCGAATTCACAACTCCTCGTTCTTGTTCTTTTTTCTTAGCATCCATCTTAGTAATCCTTCATGTCAAATGTATTGTGTTTTCAATGTTTCCATGGCGAGAGTAAAAAGAATGGGAATTTAATGATTGTGTTTTCACTGTTTCCATGGTGATAGTAGAAAGCATGGATATTGAATAACTTTTACTTAACATGACAAGTGTTCTGAAGTAAAAACAGTTAGTGGTATAAGGCATTGTTAACGAACCAATTCATTTAACATAACTTAGAATCTGTTTTTTTAAAGACGCATTCAGTTTTTAGTGTACAACTTTTTATTAACAACGTTTTTATCTGTACACATAAAAATACCGTCATTTTCTACATAAAACTGTGTTAATGCGAGAAGACAAATGATTGATTGAATTAAAGTTTCAAGTTAATGAAAAATATGTAAGTTGTGTATAAAAGCGTAAAGTAGAAAGCACATACACTTCTAAATACGCGTTATCTTTACATTTGTTGGCGAATATTCTGTTCCAAGAATGAAATCGTTCGTAATAAAAATAGCTTCTCTACTTCTATGTTCAATTAAAAACATTTAAAGACACTTATCAAAAAATTGTTAGAGTTTTGATATAAGCCTAACGTGTCAGTCTTGTCTGATGACATTTAGGCCTTACTCAAAGCTTAAATAGCCTATATTACAGCATGTGTCGCCTTTCGAAGCTCCTGATTTCCATCCGAAGGGATAAGCTCAGCTTAAACATGAAATATAAAAAAAAAATTACATTACATTATTATTAAGCACAAAGCTACGCAAAGGGCTATGTGTGCTCTGGGGCCCCTGAATATTACCATATAATAACCTTATTAACGTTTTGTTAGCTGTACGAAAAAATCAAAAGTACGTCAATCTATAAAAATATAATTACCTGTTCAATTGTAATTCATGTTGAGCTGAATCAACTTTTAATTAATCCTCAAGCAGCTTAATTAAAAGATTATCATTATCAATAAATAATTTTCCCATATTATTGCATAAAAACATAGTTAATATACATTTATGCTTTTATTTATTTGATTAATTAAGTCAATATAACTAACATTAACAATGGTATTGTTAAATCAAGATAATATTTTATTCTTATTATTAGAAATATATCACATATCTGACTGAACCTGTTTACAAAGATCTTGGATGGCAAAAACTGGACTCAGATAACCATATAAATGAGTGAGTGGATTAAATTACATTGTTTCTTGAAAATTATGGATTATGAAGTGATTTATAACATTTTTATATCTGTTTATGAAACTTTTAAGTAGGGTTATGTTTAAGTAATATGCTGCTTCGTGACATTCACTCTCACATATCGTAGTCTAGCTTGCGAACACAATATCATTCTCGTTTGTCTGATACTGGATTTTTATTTTAAATTCTATAGACACACGTGTGTTGTACTTTAGAGCTAGCATATCTTAGGAAACGCTAAATTCTATTGCAATCACTTTGTTAAGAAGTTGCTAAGATAACAATTTTATTTCGGATTTATTTACAAGCGAAGTTCAAACAGCTGTTTTGGAACGTTTATTCGTTCTAAAGAGTAAATGTTTTTTCAATAACAGTTTTAATTGGGAGAAAGAGGGAGGTGTAAATTTTTTAACGCTTTTGAAAGCGTTCATAAAACATTAATAGAAGATCAATATCTGACCATATCAGGAGTTATTGTACAAGCATTATTTGAGAGGCAAGGTAAGAATTTGGCTCAAGCAGGTCAATACAACTTTCAAGGGTCCAAAATGTCAAAACATGTAAAATTAAAAGCCTGTACATAAGTTAGCACACAAGCATTGTGCTGCAGCTGCTCCTATGTCATCTAAATAATGAAACAGCTTTCAGTTGAAGAACAGCTTAACATTGTACTATTGTATTGAGAGTATCACCAGAATGCTCTTTTTGCTGCTAGATTGTACAGTAAACGGTTCTAAGAAGAACGTTACTCTTCGCATCAGATTATAGGAAATTTGTGTTAGCGGCTGCGCGCTACAGGCCCATTTACTCGTAGACGCCGTGCGGACAGACAAAAAACAGCAACTACACTGGCAATGAAGCTGTCATATTGGCATTTGTGACTCTTGTGCAGCATTATGAGCGCATCTATTTACCACATTCCGTAACACTGTTTGCATATTTTCCCTTATCTGCATTCATACTTATAGCCGTTGTTGTAATGGAGCTATTTTAGTAATGTTTGGTTTAGAATTTGGCATTAGTTGTCTATACCTTTGACATATTTGGTGTATGATTCATATTAAGTTTCGAAGCACATTAACATGAAGTTAATGTGTAATGACTTAGTTGATATTTTCATACGAGAGGACACAAAATTTTATTCCATACCAGTAGCACTGGTTGTCCTGCACCTCTCCATTTCTGAATTACTTGTTTGTCAATGGATTTCTCATTCACCCGGTTTATGCATTTTACTGCCACAAATTCTATCTAGTATTGGTACAATACTGTAATCTAACAGAAGATGATCCATGATCACTTTGAGTAAATGTAATTTTAAAATTTAAAAACTTTGGAATAATACTGTTTCAAATACCACTGTTCATTGCACTGTTTTTCCATCAGGCTTCTCCGAACGACGATCATTGGACTGGCCTGTTACAGTGGAAATAGAGTGTGTATTAAAGAGGCAGTTACAAGATTAAGAAATTGGATGGATGGTGAGGAGTAAGTATCAGACATTTTTTTTTCAAATGAAATATGAGAATACTCTTTTCTAAACCATGCTTAAGTTTTGATAATTCCAATTTTTACGTTGAAGAGAACGAAAAAAATACATCATGATTATTTTTTACGCAGATATATCATATTTTTATAGGTATATACACAACTTTATACAAATATACAAGCATTCTCTGCGTCATTATACGTACAAGTACAACGAATAGAAGCATTTTTCAATTTAGAAAACATTCATTTCAGTTTCATGACATAGTTACGTGGCAGTAACATTCTCTATCTCTTGTTTCTACTTATATATTATAATCACTCAGTGGTCGTTTGGGCTATTCTCTGTAACAGATTAATGTTTTTTTTATAATTAATCGTCTACAGCATATCCGAAAAAAACATCAAAAACCTTTTCAAATAATATTTAAATTGTCACTAGATGGCGCCAAGAGAAAGTAATCCCATATTGTTTTTAATTCTTACAATGTATTAAACGATAGTTTGTGTGTGTGTTTTCTTATAGCAAAGCCACATCGCGCCATTTGCTGTGTCCACCGAGGGGGAATCGAACCCCTGATTTTAGCGTTGTAAATACGAAGACTTACTGCTGTCCCACCGGAGGACTAAACGATAGTAATGATCATTA